TTTAATGCGCCATAATCACCTGCTTGCAGAGTCAATGTGTCTGTTGAAAGTGCTCATTCCACAATCGCATGAGATGTTTTAAACAAATTCCTGGACAATCATAAACTCGACAGTCCTAAGCACATTGTTTGACGAGTTTTCCCATTCACCACAATACTGAAATTTGGCCGTTCTGCTACACATTGTGTTGCGGACTTCTTAAACTACTATAGAACTGACGACCAACTTTTAAATCAGTTCTCATTTAACGACAGTTATTCCACAGAATCTTTCAGTTAATAACCCCACTGGAGAACCTCACTTTGCATGCCAGTGAAAATATCGTAGCATACTGTGACAACAAAACTTTTCGCAACCCTTTCAAACGAAGCTTAAGAGGCCTGAGGCCAAATTGATTTGCCAAAACAACCCTAAACATAATCAAACGCCCCGTATTTTGACAGAGTTGAATCCCTGGAAGCGCCTTTTCCCCCTTTACAGCACTGATCGAGGTTTTCATGTCATCTAGAAAAAAAACCACCTTCCATCGGGATCCGTTGATCGTTTCAAGGTGACGACACACCAACTGTAGCTTCTTTGGTCGCCTGGGTAGTGAAATATCGAGTTCAAGTGGACGAGCCACAACATCAAATCCAAAGTTTTCCACGAGTCATTCAAGAAATAGGTCCCAAGTGCTAATAAAACAAGGTAGGTTTCCATGAAGTTTGCCTGAAGTGGATCTCCACTGTGGCCCTTTAGTGTTTAATCTGTTAATTTCGCCACTAGTAGAAGATCTAGGTGTGGTTAACACCACGTATCTTACCCACTGACTTATAGGGACATAATTTGACCAAGAAAAAGGAAGCCTTTAGCTTGACAAGGCGTCAGTTTAGGCGTGATTTGTTGACATTCGACATCTGAACGAGTGTTACTTTGTGAGGTGAAATCAAGACGGTCAATTAAGTTCGCTTTTGTTCATGCCGGCTGGCTGCACTCATGAGCAATCTTGAACGCATCTCACACGGACTTATTGGCCGCCAACAGCTCTTCTTTTGTGCTAGAAGGAATCTACAGACTTGTTCTTTAAAACCAATGACTGAATGACCTGACTATATTCACGATTATTGAGTCAGTTTAAACTTAATTTCGAGAGTCGGGTAGTTGTCATGCCAACTAGCACTTCCTGTTTGACACCGGAAGTTTCGTTCACGTGTAGATGAAGTAAGAAAGTAAAGACGATTTTATTTGTGGGAATCGGATGTCGTATGGTCGTCGATCGGAGACGTGTGAGGCCAATGCGATGATCTGGTGTTGGTGTCACAACCATTTCTTCCAGCAAATTCACTGAAAGGTTGACCGTAGGCCTGGTAGTGTGCAATGTCCTGATCGTGGACTTGACAAACGAGTCAAAAAAATTAAACCAAATTCTTCTTCTTCTTCTTTCTCCAAAGAAAGGTCTACCGTAGACGTGTTGACGTGAAATGCGTGCTCGTTGTCTGATGGAGAAGTTTTGTGTTAGTGAAAATGCGCAACAATTAATCATTACCCTCAGTCAAGAATCGAAACGACTTAGCCTAGGTTACTTTTACAGCCATCTAGGAGCCTGCTGAGAGTCGATTAAGAACTAAAACAATTTCTAAGCCATCCTACGAAACCGTCTACTTCCAGCTCGTAGAGGGCCAAGCGTATTGAAGAGCAGGATCGTCGTTGTAAAAGTTCCGGTGTGGAACCCACTCTTTTGATTGGAAAAAAATTTCATCATCTGTCAAAGTGATTTCACTTTACCTATATGACTTGGTCAGTGAAGACCCATGACTCCTTTGAGATACTGAAACAATGAATATATCTGCGCAAATACGCTTTTATCCAAAGTGCCTGAACACCAGATCCACCTCGCTTTATCTGGATTACTCATCAGTTAAACACACATAGAGTCGTGTCCCCATCACTCGACTTATTACAAATCAGCAGAACGTTCACCGAAAAGCACTCAGGGAATCCACACGCATATATACTCACTAAACTCAAGCGCCAGGTAGACAGTGAGTAGTACTGGAGTCATTCGATTAGGTATTTCTACTTCTACCGCGTACCAATGTCTGATACTGCTGAGGACGGTCCCTTATTTTTTCAAGAAAACACTGATTTCCTTTCTTTTGACTTTAACGCCCCCGTGTGGTTTAAGGAGATGGAGGATAGGTTTCACGTGTACAATATCACGTCGGAGATAGCCAAGTATTACCTTGTCGTGATGAACCTGCCCCCGTTGGCGGCCACATTGTTCGTCGATCTAATCAATGAGGTACCAGATGAGAACCCCTATTCCACACTCAAAAAGGCAATTATCGAACGAACTGCGGGTCCAGAGGAATCGCGAATGCAAGGCCAACTATCTGGAGTGGATCTAGGCAACCGGACGCCGTCTCAACTATACAGCTACATGCGAGATCGCGTCCACGCAACCGACGAACAGGAGCCAACGCTGCGTCGTCTGTGGGCGCAACATCTGCCGACGGAAATCGGTCAAGTTGTGCTGCTCTCTGGCTCCAAGATGCCGCTCAAAAGACTGCTGAAGTCGGCGGACAAGATGCACGAGTGGCTGGGCAATGAAGATGGACGACGATTCGCTGCAGGCAGTAGTGAGCACGCGCTTTCGAGGGCTAGACCTTCATTCAGAAATAGGAAGTGGCGACGCAAATTTCGCAAACGCAACGCGCACAATTTCACTGATTCGCAAATCCCCAGTACATCCACGAGTACTATTCGTAATCGCTTCAGTGGCAGCTCGAAATACTACCAGCTCTCGAAAACTTCTCCTCAAAGCTCCAAAGCACCCTCTAGAGGTGCAATGGATGGTGACAAATAGAACACCGACTCCCCTGCACCTCAAGTCAAGTTTTCTTCATGCATTAATAAAGCGCCTCGTCGTGGTTTGAGGACAATTTAACAGCTCAATTGAGTTGACTGCGTTGTGTCATTTTAAATACAACTGACATCCTCTTATTTCTGAATCTCTGATTTACCTACAAAGTGGAGGGGTGTGGTATGGTTTGGTCTTTCATAAGACACACGCTCGCGGAGACTTTTGTAGTTCTAGCGTGCATGTTCGTTTGAAAAACACGTTTCACAAGGATGGACTGCGGTCTAATTACCCTTATCATGTCTTAGTGACGGCGCACTGACTGTCGGTGACAGCACATCGCTGCAGTCATCTGCTGAGTTCGAATTACATGTCGTAGGCTTGTCTGAGTAGAACATTAAGCACCGACTGCAACTCGTGATCTGTCGGTAGGAAAGACCTATTTGGTTAAAAGTAACGTAGGCCATCTTTGGTCACCTGTTTACGCCGATAGAACTGCTGCGTTTTGTTTGAAATGAAGTTAGTGGCGTTTTTAGGGGAATTGAGTAGTAAGTTCCCTAACGAGGACTGAATGACAACCCTATCACTTGCAACCTCAAATCGACGAGTTTGCAGTGAATCGTGGATACGCTGTTCCCGTTTTCAGTCATGAGGGATCGTCTGCCTGTTCACCGCTATGCTTGTGCCCCCACTACCCGTTTTTTCCACTCAACCAATTAGACGTTGATACTTCTACTAGTTTACTCAGACTGTAGTAGTAATGCGCTACATCTAATGCACACACACGGCACACACCTTTATTGAGCTATCTAGCAAACGGTTGTGTTAAATCACTTTGGTGTCGTCCCGTTCCGTGAACACATTGCCCATCACGATTTCCTTATCTCTGTTTCCTGATTGGTGCAAACGTTGTTAAGGCATGCTCCATCCGGCTAAACATCTGCAAACCAGGTTGTGAGCATGTTTTAGTTACTCGGACACGTCGATTCCAAGAAGTATGAAAACATTGTCTGCACCCCGATGCGCCTTAAACCTCAAGATCACTCCGAAGCTTGAATTCCGTTTGTCACGAAGTCGTGACGTTGCAGCTGGAAGGGAAGCTATTAGGACCACAAAGTATACCACCCATCAAGTTCCAGTCTCAAGAGAAGAGCATGTTTTTTTCTTGAGAATTAAAACAGATTTTTCTGTGCTGGAGGAAAGCCAATAAAGGAGCATGCGTAATTTTAAACTTTGAGACAGTACCAAAAACACTAGCTCAACACTACTGGGACGAAACGGTGAGGTCTGCATTGTTGAACGACGTTGCATAAAAGGCGTGTTTCTGGAGACTCTGGAACTGAACGACTTTCCACTGGACGTTCAGGTAAGTTGCCTTCACCTACAACTTGCAAGAAGTCCACCACGTGCCACCAACGCAGCCTGCTTCTGAATTCCCGTCTTGGCTGGTGAAACTCCACCTGTGGACCTCGTGGAGATGCCTAAATGATGAATCAGTACTGCCGGAATCTGGTGCCTTGTAACTTCTTGGTCTTTGGAAATGAAGTTTTGTAATTGCAACACAATGCGTGACACGTCTGACAGCTTGTAACCCATATTGCGTTCCACTTTTGTGGTCGTGGTTTGGCGTCAGCTTTGGGTCTCGGTAGTAGCTGGACATTTCCCACACACCATCACTGCCAGTTATCACCTGTGCCCAATCGACCAACCAAAAAGCCCATCTGTGCTCTCCGAAAAATCGATCACTTTCGGTGACGTCTTTGAGACAGGCAACCCACAACCGACAGAACCGTGGAAAATCATCTATGAGAGGGTAATGGAACACGCGTTGAAAAAAATGTTTTTGCTTTCACGATTTGCATTCCTGTGAAGACACACCTACGTGTTCCGGTTTGAAATTTCACGCTTTTTTGGTGCATACCGTTGATTATGATTTGTTTACGACTGTTGATTAGGTGATGGGCGGAGAATCCAGCAAAGTACAGGTGAAATGGAAGGGACACAGCTGGGTAAATAAAGCTAAACGGGTTCGTCATTTTCCTTACTTTATAATCAACACCAACTGACCAGTGGTGGAAAAACATTTTCCCCTAGATCCGATCTAGAAATGAAGCGAAGGTCAACGCCAGAGTTAGAATAGCACTGAGTAACAATGTCTCACAAAGCAAGCGAAGCTTGCAGATTAAACAGAATCAATTACACACAAGAATTTGAATTTGGGTGGTTAAAAATTGATTCAGGATGCTGGAAATGCGATACTGGTCTTCTATAGCATCAGAATGTTGGTCTTGTGGCTATAAAACGCAAAATTTCTCTGAAGACAACTGAACTGATTTGTAAGTTTTTTTACGACTTGCCTGTAATCAAATATGCGACCTTACCTTTCCAGTACTGGTCACAGGCAAGACCTTGTGTAGAGGAATTTAACTGGCTTAACCAATGGCAGCGTGACGTGTCTGGGTCAAGAGTGACCTTGAACTGAAGTATCAAAGGCGGTTAACACAAATGGACCTGTCATTGTGGGGTCCTCGGTTATCGGGCGATTAAATGAAGTGGTGTGGTTGGGGGAATTCGTATAGACAAGGACGAATAATAATGATTAGCGGCGACCCGTCTTGGAGGTGCTGATTTACCCAATCACAGACAGGCATGGTGACCTTGACAGCCATGAAAGCAGAATACACTCCCAAACAGGAAACATGCCAGTCCAATGAAGCTGATAAGAGGTGCTCTGTCCATGGCAGAACGAACATAGAAAAAATAGGCAATTTCCATTTTTAATTATGCGCTAATCACAGAGTTTTGTGGCATGTTGACTTTCTTGTAAGGTTTACGATCTTTCAAATATGACGCAGATACAAACAGAAAACTGTTATTGGAAAACGCAGCTTCAGAGCCCTTGGTACATTGGCTTGACGAGTTGCGGTACTCTCAATTTCTTGTACACCACTGCAAATAAAAATTCTATTTTTATGTCTAACAGAGATTCTGCAAAATTTCCGGTTACCTACAATAAAGTCAGCAGAGGATTACCGGTTGCAGCTTTTTTTTAAAAAAAACACACGTCAAAGCACAACATCCTGAAATGCTTGTTTAAGAATATGATCGTATGAATTTTTATCGATTTAGTAACCTTAATAAATGTCCTCGACACAACTACCACGCTGGAGACAGCACTAAAACCCCTTTAAATGGACACCACTGACGCAAAACGTGGATACGTGTGAAATAAATTTATGTCCACGCACCCACACATAGCAGTCTTGACCATAAAACCCAATTTTTTTATCATTGAGCCCAGTGTCTATTTCTTCGGGCTTTTAGCGAAGTCTCGGCAAAGTTATTGTAACCAAATCCATGGAGTATCAGCACAGGAGTTCCCTTTCAAAAAATCCCGTGTGTGAGTGTGAGTCGGCAGGCTGTTTTGGCGTTTGATCACTGACTGGTTAGTTGTATGATTCGAATTATCGATTGGTGGGCGCTGTGCATCTTCCAAAAATGGCAGCAGACCACGCTAACGGCGATGACTCGTCCGATGATGGATACCTTACAGAACCCGAATTGAACGTGCTACGGGAGGTCACTGAAGCCCTCATTGCACCTGGAAAGGGGATTCTCTCCGCCGACGAAAACCCTTGTGGGTTAATTTTGCTGCTTTCATCTTGAACCGTTATAGTCTTCCTAGGAACGCGGATGATCAATGCTAACGTCGACGACACGCCGGATAACCGCTCTCGATTTTACGAACTTGTATCAACCGTCAGTCCGACAATCGCTGCATACATCTCTGGGGTGGCGCTTAATTATGAGGCGATTAATATGAGGACGGATGACGGCGTATTCCTTACCAATTTCATAGAGGTAACATAACCCCTTCAATAATTCTGACTGGTTAAATTTTGAATTATTAGAGCAGAGGTCTGCTACCGGGTGTCAGATTGGACAAAGGCGTGAGACTCATTCCAGGGTTTAATGAAGAGTACTTAACTCTGGGATTGGATGATCTTGAAATAAGGTGCGAATTTTACAAGAGAATAGGCTGCTTCTTTGCTAAGTGGCGATGTGTCTTCAAGGTGGATGATCAGCGGCCCACGATACCCACTATAATCGATAATTCCTACAACCAAGCAAGATTTGCTACAATCTGCCAACAAGTGAGTTTCACACCCTTCCGAAGTGGCGTTCTTCTCAAATTCACAGACCCCGCTATTTAAGTTTGGTTTAAACAAGCCACTTCCTGGGTAGTTAGAAGTGGGCATGTAGAAGCATTTGCTGTTTTTTCTGTCATTTTAGAACGGCATGGTACCAATCATTCAGGCGGACCTTTTAACAGATGGTGGTCACAATCTGCACACAACCCAGAGGGCGCTTGAGGACACGCTTACCATCTTGTTCAATACTCTTGCGAATCACAAAGTCTATCTGGACGCCATGCTTCTTGAACTAAGCCTGGTCACTAAGGCTGACTGCTGTCGGGAAAGATTCAGCTATCAGCAGAACGCCCTTGCCACACTAGAGACCATACAAAAAAAAGTTCCATCCATCGTTCCTGGTATGTCAACGTGCTCTCCTCTAATCCCTGCTTATCGCGTGGACACTTTTCCACAGCTAAGTAGAGGCGACATCACTAAAACTGGACGGTTTTACCACAGCCATCTCGAAATTTGGACGGTTTTTTAGCTGTAATTGCAGATGTATGCACGGAGAACCACTCACCTTGAAAGTAGCCCTAGTTTTGGTTGCTATGCCAACCAAACTCCCAGGATTGTAAGGCGGCATCACTTGTACTAACGTCATTGGCTGACTGGACGTCTCGTCTTTTGCAGGCATCCTCTTTCTTTCTGGAAATTTGTCGCCGTTGGACACCCTTAGCACTTTGAACGCCATGAATCGGAGTGATACGCGCAAGCCCTGGGCGCTGACATTTAGCTTCGGTCGCAGTATGATGAACTCGGTCCTGAAAATTTGGAATGCCAAGGACTCCAATGTTCCCTTTGCTCAAAAGGAACTTCTTAGGCTTTGCAAGGTAAGAGCAGACAGTCCGGCATTTTCAGCACACCCAGTGCAACTGTCTTCGCCAATTTTACGCAGAATGAGTGAAATTAGTTGGATGATTGTAACTTAGATCGCAATCTGTTTCCATTTAGGCCAGCAGTGAGGCAGCTACTGGGAACTTTTGCGGATGTCTCGACACAGAGGTCAACGCGCAGTCCCTGTTTGTCGCGAATCACGTCTTGTAGAACGCGACCCATCTACGTGCTCAGGCGAGCGGCATAGAAAACTTCAAAAAATTGCGAGAGTCAGTTTTTGAGCGTTGATAAAGTAAAAACGCTTCTTTATGCCGACACCGGTGTCTTTTGGTTTCCACACATTCCAGGCAGGTCTTCCCGGGCCTAACGGCGTGCATTTTGTATCGAATTAACACATGTTTCGAAAAAAACAGCGATTAAGTTTGTTAGTAGCTGTCAGTTTGAAGTGAATTCTAACGTGTCACCTACAAACAGTGCAATTACCCCTGCATTTCCATGAAATCGTAAAAAACAGACAAGACTCACTAATAGATGTGCAGAGAGTAGGCCTAATTTGTGCAGCTTAAAATGTCGCCGTTTTGAAAGGAAACCGAATGATAAGTTGACGTTAGACACGCAACCTCTTTCTCTACGCTGAAATTCATGTGAATTCCAAGAAGAAAAAGAATGCTTCTAAAGAACAAGAGTAAATTTGTTGTGTCTTTAAAAACCTGTGTCTATTTGAGCGAACGTTTCATAAACGGAGAATTCGATCTAAGTGACCCGCTGCTCCCCTGACAGCAGCCCCGAAAGTTTGAAGATGCGAAATTGCAAGCTCTTCTGGATGAAGACTCAACACAGGCTCAACAAGAGCTTGCAACTCAGTTTGGAGTCACTCAAACGGCTAGTTTTAAGCTTTCCCACCACAAAGTGGGAAAATTTGACAATTTGGAAGTTGGGCACCCTCACATGTGGTGGTCGAACACAACCTAGGTCTCGCATGTCATCTACAATAATCCCAAATGCAACTAGGCGTTAGCATATTTCGGGCAACCCAATGCATCGACGCATTCACTTGAACAGGGTTCTATGTATCTGGTGTGAAATGACGGAGACTAGTCGTCAGTCAGTGACTGTGGAACATTCCAGCCGACAACTGAACATGAAGAGCAACGAATGTGAGCAGAAAAGGCCATTTACGTTGTAAAGATGCTGTCAACTGTTCAACGCACACCACAACAATCGATAATGCCTCAAAGTGTTACCGAATCGTCAGAAACATGGATATTTGCGCTTCGCCTAGACTACGTCTCGGCTCACATAACTCTACCAAGTCGCTGAAATGTTCCGGAGCATGCTTTGGATGCATGCATCATGTCAGCCGAATTTCCCCTAATAAGTGGTGGAACTTTCACTAATTACAATCAAGATCCGGAATCCAAATTGGTCGAGGTTTGTTCGCCGCTAAGCCCGGCTTCGTGGTTTGTACGTGTTTAGGAAACACAAAGTGGACAGATAGCTACGCTTATCTTCCCAGGTCAAAAAACGTCGCTCACTCAAAAAATTCTTTCGAAAGTAATTTTAGCCTGTACTCGGGGTTTGAATTATCACAAAAGCGGATGAATACCATCCATATGATAGCACTGGTCACTTGCTATACTACTGATTGAAAACTCCAACCAGAAAGGCTAAAATTTCGATTTTGTTGTGGTAAAAAGTGCTCAGAAGTGATAAACGCAAGCAAGTAAAAGTATCCCCTGCGGACTGGCTTTAATTGCCTCCGAGTTTGGTAATGTGCAATCACCTACCTAAAGTACATCCACCAAATACAAGAAAACAACCGGGATCACAAAACATCTTGTTTTAACAAAACGAAACATCAATTATCAAGGGTCTGTGCCAGAGTCGTCTTCGTCAACCCCAAGGGAGATCCAAGTAGGCTCCTCGCTTCAGGGCTGGGAGCTTTTCGTCCACCTCCCAGACGTCCTGATTGATGGGGATCTTTGGAATGGCGATCAGAAGGTGTTCGGCTGTCTCCTCGACCACACGCCAAGTAGACGGAGGCCCTAGGTCGGGCGAGTGGCTGCGTTTGCCCCAGGCGTCGTACAAGAACGCTGGACGCCTCCGTTGAAGCCTCAAGCCTGCCTCACTGGAAGACCCCGCTAGCGGCATACTGAAGGTTTGCTCGCAAGCGAAGACCAAAATTATGAGGGCCGTGAATGCGTGACAACCACGATTCGTCCACACCTTCGGCATCCTTTGTAGTCTACAAGCGGCAACCACAAAGTCATTGTTCACCAGATCCACCCCGTGGAACAAGCGTGGAAACCCACGCAACCCCTTTCCACATATCCCTTTTAGTGCTCTGGCTTTGTGCAATGTGTTTTTGAAACTTTTACTACTAGATAACTTTGGATGTAGTAAGAGGAAGGCATTTTACACTTGAGTTACTGGTTGACATCGTGAAAACGCTTCAGGGGAACCAGGTTAAACAGCCACATTTCTGATTGGTTGATCTGCAGAAACCAAGTGACAGGACCAGAGTCCATTTCGCCGACAGAAATTTACTGGCTGTGGACAAGATGTCCAAGCAATCTTTGAATTGGGCGTCAGCAAACTCATCACCTAAGCGGCGGTTGGTCAAGCCAATATGAAATATACGACTTGTACTGTTATCTACATAGTTGTAAATTAAACACACGATGACTTCAGTGTTATTGCTGCGATCCACAACCGTTCCCTTGAGCGGTTTAGTTTGGCTTTAGTCAGCAATTTATCTCTGTGATGAAATCGTGAACCCAGTTGGGTGCTACAGAGGCGATTTTGACAGCATCCTGACGATGTTTCGTGCCTGTTTTCGTGTTTGTCACAGATTGGTGGCTTTTCACGGTCAGCCACTTTCGTTTTATCCGTTAATCTCTTCTATTTCCTCTCAGGAAATGCGCCACCATTTCGCCTAATTTTTGTGCAACTCATTAATTCCTAATTAGAACAAGGATTAAAGACAGTGATAAAGACGAATTGGGACATGTTTGTGAAGAAGGTGAACCCAGCCAATAGAAATGACTTCTACCTGTTGTGTCAAACTCCAATCGCGTGGACATCATTTGCCTGATTACCGGTTTTGTGTAGAGCTTTTAACCTCATTACGCCTTGACGCTGGCATCGTAAGGCAGCCATGCTAATTACTCGAGAAAAATTTTGTGAAGTCGCCCACCAATGAAACACAAGTATGCATCAAATTATCGGCAGCTATGCAGACCAGAAAAACCCACAGTTTGGGTTGAAAATTGATAAACATTAACAGACAGCAACACCACTGGTGCTCATGTTATAAAATGGACGCATTTCGGTCTTCTTTTTTGGGAAATATATCCATGTTTGTAATTGTGAATGCAACAATTTACCAAGTATTACGATTAGTGTCCTGTCGGCCAAAAATGTGGTCAACTATCAAGCAAAACAGTCCTTGAGTATATACTCTTAATTAAAAAATAACTAACAATTTAAAAATTGACAAATTTTGCAAAACTAAGCAATCAGGAGAAACAGGGGTAATAATGCCTTACCTGATTTGCTCCTTGTTGACTCCCCGTAAACAGACCAACATGCGATTGGTGGCATTTAAATTCTTGGGCAGCTTGCATTGTCAGCCAATCAAATGAAGACATAAAATGACTGGTCACTAACCCATTTCCGATTGGCCAATGAAAACACAGCTCAACCTGAAGACAAACTGCATGATGTTGATTCCTTAAATGCATAAAACGCTAATTATCTGGCCTGAGTAGAGCATATTAATGTCCTTTTCAATTTAGGGATTCAGTTTTTTTCTTAATTAGTACAAGTTGTAAATTCAAAAGTTATTAAAACACTCGATTTTAATAAAATGCACTGGCCCGAACCAAAGTTGATTGGTTTAAATCAATCTTAGCCATTTTTTTGACTGATCAAGTCAATCGGAACGCATTTTTCATGACTTGTAAGTTACCTATTCGCAAATCTTTAATTGAAGTCGAATTGTGGAAACTATAACACACAACACTACCTGTCCTTGAGAAATCGGCTTGGTTGCCACGGCAACCTAATTTGCCCAATCACGAGTGTCCCAACGCCAGTGCCAGATTTAAGAAGGTACCAAATATCCTGACTGCTTGCAATATTTTAGTAAGCATGTAACAATCCCTTCCGCCGAAGTAGAAATCTGAAGAAGGGGATAAACCCAGCTCAGTTAAAGGTATATTTCGCAGTATCCAAAAGAGAACGTAATTCACAGAAGAGATGGGGATACGCACAAGGGCACAGTTGGATTTAAATGGCGAAAAAATAAACACCAGTGCGAAATCCAGCATAAAATGGGACAACCGGGGGTGGGGGGAGGCGGGGGGACGGCAGGACCAGAGTGGAGGGTGTTCGAAGGGGCTTCGTCGCCTCCGGAGGCATCATCACAGCTCACATAAACTTCCGATGCAGCGCGGCAGGACCCTCGCTCTCGTACTCCTGCTTGGAGATCCACATGTTCTTGAAGGTGCCAAGCGAGGCGAGGATGGAACCGCCGATCCACGTGGAGTAGAGACGCTCGTTGGGCGCCGAGATGCGCAACTTGGCGTCCTTCGGCGCCATCCGCTTCATCTCGAGCAGAAGGCGCGCTCCAAAACCTGCAACAGGCCAAACGTTAGCAGCTAGTGCTTGGTCGACTCGACTCCACTAATGGATGTTCGAGAAAACGCACCTTTGAACAGCGTTGAACCCCCAGACAGCACGATGTTTTCGTAGAGCATCCGGCGCAGGTCCATGTCGGACTTTTGAATGGAATAGGCAAGCACCTAGGCAGGACAAAAAGACGACTAGAAGATCCAGACATTCAAACCACGACATGCGTTCACAGATCACATAACTAGCTCTATTGAAGACCGGAACTACGAGTCGCCGCCTGAAGATCGCAAAACGGCTGCCTCGTTAGAGTCGGAGTCGTCGACATTTTGACCAGAGAAGAACTTCGAAAAGTGAAATAATGCGTTGGCTTTTGAAGGTTAAGTGAACAACTATTATCGACCTTCGCCCGATACTTCGGGTTATTGATTTTATCAGTAAATACCGGGTTTTGAGACTATGCGGTCGCTTTCTTCGCCATGAATACGTGTCGAAGCAACGTATACTTTGTAGGAAATGACTGAATTTATGAGATAACTACTGGTCTAATTCATGAACTCGGCGCTAAACACTTTGAAACCACTTTTTCAAACCCAAAATGTGCGTTTTCTGATGAATTTCGGGCATTTTAAACATCTTTTACGCAAAATATCGCAGGTCAAATAAATTGCCACCATCAACCCATCCGTTGACCAACCACAATTGAAAGAAAATCAGCAGAGGATGATTACACAAATATGGGAATCGATTCTACCTTTCGTTGAACGATTCATTACACTCTTCTCTTGTTCCAATTGGTGCCTCTTGTTTAAATTGACCTAACCGCCCAAGTCAACCAATAGGCAATCCACTTGGCTCACCCAATGAGCATTTCGGGAGACCGATGAAAACGCGTGCAGCGTAAAACTGACCCCAGAGCATTTGATAGAGAAAAATCCTCCCGATGTCGACTAGTGCGCGTTAAATTGATTACATCGATTGTTTTAATTCTGGTTCACACTGAGCGCCGATTGCAATTTGTCCAATAGACGAGAGGCGGTCATGTTGAATGTTATTTGAACCGGACGAAAGTGGTGAGAATCCACATCTGTTAATTGCTGCAATTTTTATTGTTTACAACATGATGTGCACAAGTTGTCGAAGGCTCCGAATCGTCGTCACTTTGCGGGCTCGGTGTGTCCCAAAATCGACCGAACACACAGAACACGAGGCAACTGGTGGGAACGACCCTTTCTCCCCAAATTCTCCCACAGGAGAACATCCGCCGGTGAACCGATGCACGAAGCTAACCCACGCGCCACGCATATACACACACAACTGCTCACATGATGTGCACACCCACGCCTCTTTGTGCCTTTTAAAGTAACTTCTCTTAGCATTGCCTAGCCAGGTCCTCTTGATTCGGATCAGGGTGATCGACGACGGCTTTGTGATCGCACCTTGCCTGTTTAAGTCGCCAATCAGCTGATTATTTGTCAGATATCACCAGCCAAAGTTGATGTGTGCCCTGAAGCATCAGCGTGTGGGCTGTGATTCCACTCTATCTCGCCTGCATTGTCATCGTCCTCTTCTGTACTCGTCAACATGTTCCACCGTTTCAAATTATGGTGGAGCTGTCCATTAAATTTATCAGTACCTTCGCCCCGACATGGTCCATTTACGGACCTTCCTCTTTGTGATTCTTCGCTGCGCAACCATTTCTAACAGCAATGACGCGTCAGGTTAGCTGGGCGTGTAGAAGGCGTTGGCCGGAGCATGGTAGCCCCCTCGGAACCCCTTTAGAAGCTACGCTTCCCCTGCTTCAGCTCATGATTTTCGCAGGGTTTAAAATCCCGCTCCTCCCATTGACTCAAGATGGTCGTTGCTGCGGTCACTAGACAACCAGATTGTTGAAGGCGCTTTAACTCGTGAGTCCGCAAGGGTCTACCAGCTAACCTTCACCAGTACCTGGTGTCCCCACGACGAACTACGAGGTCCAATTCAGGCGACATCGCCCACACTTGACTGAAGACACGAGATGCCACGCACCCTAAGATTCTTGTAAAAAAATCAATAAAAACCTGGGCTAAATTGTGTGATTTCGGAATCCACTTCATCACCTAGACTAGGAGGTTTCTGATTGACGGTGAATTTAGGAACTAGAAATCAGGTTAACTGGAGTCAGTTTCTTTAAAGATTTCACCTGACAATGCCTTGACCTCAAGGCTATGATCACCTCAGCAAACATGCGTTGCATTTCAATGGAGTAGCTGTGCTGAGATAACTGCAGAGGCCTTGTGGGTTTTAGCAGAGAACTGGGGAGCGAGTATATCGATTGATCGCAGCAAGTCAATTGGATTTCGGTCAATGCTTGTTGGATGCAATGAAATGACACCCCTGAACCCAACCAATCAGTGATGTGCAATTGTGACGTCGTGGCACTGTCCTTGTTTTGAAACTATTCAGCAACGTGGTCAACCGGCGTCAAACAATTCCGCCATGTTAAACAGGTAGAACCTTAACAGTGACGATCAAGCAACTAATGAATTTGCAAATTGCACAGACAATTCAAGGCGTTGCAAGGTGAGAATCTGCAGCCACCATCAGATGAATTAAAGATGCCAAAACTTGTCCTACCGAACTTGGACCGACTTTTTGATGAAACGATCCAGACGTTCATGAAGTGCCCAGAAAGCTGGCAACAGGTGTCTCGGGGTTAAAACAACACTTGCCTGGTGAATTCCGAAAAATTCCTCCCCGATGAGGTCCGGTCGGAAGAGGAGTTCAGGGGCCTTGAAGCGAGCCGCACCGATGGTGAGGGTGGAGCCGTCAGGAAGTCGGCAGGACTCCTGCGCCTCCACCACCTCCACCTTGACTGGACTCAGACTGACGAAGCAGGAGCGCTCCTGTGGACAAGTTGAAGAGACAAATAAATCAGTCACCTGGCAAACTACAGGACCTGGAGCAGTAGCAGTAGTAGTAGCAGTAGTACCTTAATCTGTCGAAGAATCTCGAACTCTGCCGTGGTGTGTAGGTCGGTGCCTTCCTTCCGGAGGAGGAGACGCAGGTAGCGGGTCACATCGCGGCCAGCAAGGTCTGTCCTCTCGATGGAGTGTGGCAGAGCGTAGCCCTCGTAGATGGGCGCCGCGTGGGTGACCCCGTCGCCGGAATCCAAAACCACTCCGGTTGTTCGACCAGAGGCGTAGCTACAAGCGGACAAATCCGGCGTCAATAACGTTTGGAACAACGAATGACGGCAGGCTGATATGGATTATAACAGTTACAACCACTGTCTCATGAAAAAAATTCAATGAAATTGGCGACCTTGGGACCCAACCAATCAGCGGAGTTATAACAGGGGTCACAGTTTGATTGGTCATCAGTCTCGGTGATTTAAACGGACCTCGAGAGTGCACGAAAGGGAGCAAATAGGTCAGTTCTTGGGAAGAAATAGACGACATAAAAACTAACCTTTGGAGAGCGATTGAAAGAGGGTGCGACTGACTACTATCTACAGGAAATAAGTAGTTTGGGCGAATTGAGCGACGAGGTTACCACACAGTTTGTAAATGATTTCGAGTGTCGTTTTTTATAGAAGGATTTTATCTTCATTAAATGCGTACTGAAAGGAATAGTGCTAAGACAAAGAAAGTGTTTAAAGTTAAGTAGTCACAATACAGCAATCACCAAGACCTAACGTTTATCAATGTCCAATTGGAATACTCAGAGACCATTGCATCAGCAAAACCGCATTATCCACGGAGCCGTGTATTAGGAATAAAGAAGACCAAACAAACAGGTAAATAGGGAGAGAGAGAGAGAGTATAGTACCAGATCAAATTGTGCGAATGCCACAAGAATGCAAGAAGGCATAGGAGAATTAGCATTTTTGGTCTCGTGGTGCAAGTTTGACTAAGCGAAGGCACCTCTACGCTAGCCTGGTCAGCAGAGTTTAATGAAGGTTGCTTGAATTATCAACCAAGCGTATATATGCATGAACAAGAAACGTAGTGGAAAGTTCACAAGAGCCCGCGCGCACACGCACACACACACACATGCAACCAACCACATCAATTAGGCGTGAGTCATGACACAAGACACATGAGTGCACAGAATTGTTATGCGAGTTGAGGTGAATCAGACGACAACCAAGAAATAGCTAAACAAAACCCCCGAGAACACAACAGCCAATGTGAATGTGGCGGGAAAAATCACTTTAATTGGTGATCCAATGAAAGTATGTGGGTCGAAAAAAAGACAAACAAGCGGTCAATCGACTCACAGACTAAGGACAGCCTGCATTGAAACGTAGAGCGCGGGAACACCGAAGGTCTCAAAGAGCATTTCCGCCATCTTTTCGCGGTTGGTTTTTGGGTTGATTGGAGCCTCAGTGAAGAGAACGGGGTGTTCTTCTGAGCTGACCATGAGCTGATCCTTGCTGTAAATGTAGTGCCAGATGTGTTCCATGTCGCCCCAATCCCGAACAATTCCGTGTTCTACTGGGTAGCGGATGCTGAGTAAGCCGCGGTGTTCTTGAGCCTTAGGACCGATGAAGTGGTCGCCTTCGATAGCTCCTGCCATGGCTCTGACGTGCTTCGGCCGGCCGATGCTACATACAAAATCCACAAGTTTTTGATTAACCTTGACAAATTTTAGGAAAGCCATGCGGATAGCCACTACATTTTCTGAGACGTCCACCTACGACAGGTGTACCTCATTGTAGACAAAAAACGGGATTCAGAGGTGAACGCGTAAGAAACAAGACAAAACTTTCTACGCACACTAATTGCAGTAAACCGACCTTCAGTAGCACAATCACACAAGAACCCTGCGCGCTTCCCCACTACACAAAAAGTGTATGTTAAGTAGAAGAACCGCAACAAAGTTCTGTTGCAAAAGGAAAACTCACAAATTTGGGAAATAATGCTTGGGTGTCTGGTCACCTGCGAAGCCGGCTTTGAGCACTCCAGTGCCCTGCAAATAAAAAAAAACTAATAAATCTTCAGAATAGGCCTGTCTTTTATTCACCATTTACTAGAAAACCTGATACTTTATGGGTTTTTTCCCGTGGTTTAAGAGATACGGCCATTAAGGTGAAGCATATCAGCCTACACCTAAATACTACCCCAAGTTCATCGTATCCAAACGATCTTCGAGGCATTCATACAGCCGCAATTCTGACCTGTCTCCGCTACAACCTACCAATTGTAAAGATTTAATTAAATAAAAAACTGCTACAATACACAAAAATCCCAAGGATTTACAACAAAAACTATATCATGAATCAGCTTCCAAATAAACAAATCAACTTCCTGTCGACTTCGGTCTCTAATAACAGCCAAAGTACGAGAAGTTAAACGATACACAAAGTATCGCTAAAATATTAACTACAATTCCAGCACACAATTCACATGCTCTTTTAGTGAGTAACACAGTTATATTAAAATTGCACTTAAAACGTCAATTTATTCGAGTTACAGGTTGGCACAGAAAATGCAAATAATAACATCAACTATCTTGAGGCAAATCAATCTACGGAAATAATGAACACCAAACGTACAACGTCGACAACAATAGGCTGATTCATAATCATCGTCTCCATTTTTAGAAATTTGGAAGTGGGCTAATATTGCATCAGCATGTTCGATTTGCCAATCACAGCCATCACGCTTCAAGTCTAAATTATGAGCATTATCAAAGCTGCAAATTCACATAAAACGTGAGGTAATCGAAATATAAAACACTAATTGATTTTTGTTGATTTTCGCCATATTTTAAGACAACAACTCAAGCAATATTTCTTCTATTTAATTTTTTAATAATTCTAAAAGTAGTGATAGTGACTTGAATATTGATGAATATCTGTAAGATGTTTATCTACTTAAAATAAATAATCGATAATATTTGAATGAATTTGCATAATTTTTCGTATTTATAATGCTGTAATAGAGAGCACTGCATTAATGTTTACTCAATACGATCGTCAACTGGGACCAAATGCGCAGATGTTTAGAAAACGTGAACCGTTTTGTTGGAAGCAAATGAATTTTTTGGTTGGGAACAAATAAATGCCTAAACGTTGCGCTCTTGTAAGACTTTAGAAGAATATGGTAGGACTTTTAATGTCATCTTTGGAAAATTTAATTTTGCAGGATTCTGCAAATGCTCCTAACTATGTCTGGTTCAAAACTTAATAATTTCATACTTTTGGGTTAAAATCCAAGCTTGCTGCCACTTTTGATTATCTGAATTACGTGTAATCATTCTTTAAGCCAATATAGAAGGGTAAGCAAAGTGTGCTTATTAATGTTATTATGTCAAGGCCAATAGAGAATACCTTTAAAGAGTCTGATGGATTCATTCCCTTCGACTCACAATAGATCTTAACACATCGTTTCTTTCTTCTAACCTTGGGATGCAATGTACTTAAAATTGTAAATACTCTAGACTAAAATCTAACCCACTTTATCTAAGTTGGAGCTTCACAATCGACTGGGACTTCATGATTATTTGCTTTTTAGGGATAAGTGGTTGAATTTTATCAGTATTTGATTGCATGTTATTTGTGGCAATTGTTTTTGGGTAAAACTTCTGTTTTAATGAACTGTGTTTCACTTGGATTCGACGTTACATCTTATGCAGGATTCCCCTAATTTTTAGATGCTGAGCTTATTAAATTGATCTTCCAATATTGTAAATTTGTAGTACTTGACGTGACAAAATTGACATTACTTTAAAACTATGAATATTTAATTCTTCTTTATCCTTTCATGATCGCTTTCTTTTACCGTTCAAACTAATATTCCTCATGTTTATTTTTTATTTCGTTCATAAACTGCTTTAAAGTCAAATGTTGGTTCAATCAAGTTTAGATTCACTTACTCAAAATCCCTCATTTCAATCCTCTTTTCATGTTATCCGTGCGAATTGCAAGGCGATCATTAAAATACCTCCATCTGCGCCATTTTGACACGACATGTGACTAGATTGTAGAGTACGGGGTGTTCTTAGATTGCCTTGTGGCATGCTAGTCAATCGAGTTTATTTGATTACGAAATCTACATGTTAATCAACATTAATATATATAT